GTGAATGGCGTAACTAAGTACCGGAATTTCGCAAATGAGTTTTTTCTAACAAACCGTTTATAATGACGATAGTAAAAATGGCCAGGCGTAACAAAATTGATTTTACGGCATAATACAAAATAAATTCAACAAATGTTTTTGTTCAAACAAAAACTAGATCTTACAAACCGTTGCTGGTGTACGGTAATCGTAATCCTTTTCTTTTGTAAATGTCATTTAATTAAAATAATATTGGCTATTTTTAATTTAGCAACATCGAGAAAATAAAAAATGTTTGCTTACAATATTTAACTAAAACTGCAAATAACTATTACGGTATTAATGACGCTTTAATTAGATAGCTTATGGAAATCTTAGGCCTTGTTTTCATCCTACTACATAAACTAAGGGTCGTTACACATTAATGTATTGATGCTAACGATTAACAATAGATGCAGTGACTCAACACCTTTACTTGCAAAGAATGATCTCGTAATAATTACTGGACCACAAAACTTAAATCTTACGTCTACGCATGTTTACAATGCGTTTAAATTACCGGAAATTTCCAAGTCACGTTCCACGATTAAGTCGTCATTACGAACAAAATAGAACCTGATGCGCTTTTGACCGAGCTTTCTAAGCGGTCATGACTTTTTAATGAGTTCCGACGCCCGTAGCACTGTGGTCAATACAATGTGCTTACTGGGATGAAATTAAATGTTCGATATGTAATTGGGTTCTTTTTTAATCCATGTTATCTCCCCCGGTGCCGGCTGCGCATTTTTTTTAATACCTCATAACGATATATAGCTTTAGCCAGCGACTCCGTCCGTGTGGAATTTAGAAAATAAAACAAAACTGAGTGACCTATGTGTTCTACCAGATTATCTCTACATCTATGCCAAATTTCGTCAAGATCTTTTCAGCAGTTTAAGCTCCAAACTTTATGTCACAACCATCCATCCATCGTTTCAAACTTTCACATTTATAATATTAGCAAGAAATAAGATATAAGTAGGATTACTCGTAAACACTCAGAGATCAAAGTAAAATTTTAGCAGTATAAACAATAGGTAATCATAGAAATACATAACTGAATAAGTAATTATTACGTACGCATCTTCCTTGTAGTTATCATCTCACAATAACATTGCGTCCCCAATCCCCAATTCACTTGGGTGAGGTTAATTGATGGCACTATAAACATTGCCTTCTCAGCACGCACTAACTGAAATGTAATAAAAAGGCAATATGATAAATTAAGACTATAGATAAATAATAAAATTCAATTGAAACTCAGTAAAGATGTAAGAAAAAAAAAACGTACAGACGAATTGAGTACCTCCTTCTTTTGGGAAGTCAGTCAAAAAGACATTTTCATGACTGTAGACGATTGCTTTGAGTTGTATTGACACTTTGTCTCTGTTTTTACAAAGATATTTAAGTGGTGGTAATGGCAATCAATGATTACTATAAATAGATAGGTCAATGGAAATTAAAACTTTTATTTGTTCAGATTTAAACGCGTCTGTATACATTATTGATAGTTAATTCTCTATCTCTTATTATAAATCACCACCACCGCGATCGTCAGCGTCAGAACGACGGGATTCAATTAAGTATGAAATACTACTTTTTGTAGCTTGTTTATTTAAAGAGATCAGTGGTGTAAACATAGTATTTTGATATCACATCTCTCATATCTTTTCAAATGGATGTAAAGATTTATATAAATTCTATTTCTCTTTTCAACAGTTTACAAGGTCTACGCAATCTATTTTCAAAGTCTCTTTGACGACCAGGTAATTGATAGTTAACCTAAATACCGCAGCAGCGCGCACGCCATCCGTCACCGCTTGTCGAAACTAATTAAAATGCGACAACGGGGAACGAAGATAGATTTTAAAGTTCATTAACTTTACTGAATTCACGGCCCATTATTATTAATGACCCCTTTAGGTAGCTAATGAGGAATCTTATGCTAATTATTAATATTAAGAACTAGCTGTTCCCGTGCGACTTCATTCGCATGAAATTATGAAAATTTTATTTTGTTGGTTACATTTTTCAAATTATCAATAGCAAATCTCAAAATGACATGTCATGACAAACCTTAGCAATCTTTCTTTCTTGATGTTGGCAACAACTTATGGTCTCTTTCTCACATTAGAGTTTTTATGCAAAATATTTACCCCCTAAGTTTAATGGCGTTAAAACTTATAGCCTAAAGCGTGCCGCAAGTGTAAGGCTTTTTACTAAAAAGGAATTATTCAAAAATATGCTGTAATTGCTGACATCTTAGGCAACAAAGAAGTGTGTGTTTACGCTTTATTATAATAGTAAAGTTTTAATTTAAAATGATTAATACAAACTGAAACAAAAGACGATCATCTTAATTCACTGAAAATATTGTCTATTCAAATGTAAGTCGTTTATAAGTCGTATTAAGTAGTTTTGGGTTGTCTGTTATAAATTAAAAAAAAGAAACTGGAAATTTATCAGTATCTAATAAAATTTTAATACCTCAAAATATATGGATCAAAGCTTTTAAAGTTAATCTCTTATATTTATAATGGTCAATAAAATTGCGTTCACATTGATTCATTAAAGAAACTATTGATTTCTGATAAATTATGTATGAACTTTTAACTGTTCTTTTCACTTACGAACTAATTGGTTCATATATTTAAAAAAAAAACTATTAAGCAACTAATTATAGATACTGTGAGAAATACCATTATATTGGAGGAAACAAACAAATGTATGGATAATAAAATAATTGGAGAACTGAAACTATAAATTTAAGGTGTAAACTACTTTACAAATGCAATCACAAACTTTGATATGTTGTAACTTGAATTTTATAGAGGAAATAAAGCCAGTTAGAGTGTAAAAACTAATTAGATTAATTGTTAAATACATTAATTAAGCTATAAATTTATGAAAAAGACTAATCGTTGTTTTTTGGAAGACTTAGGGCCTGTCCCACCAAATTGTAAATTATTTAATAACAATCTAACATGTAAAATACATGATGAAATATCACATTTTGTGTCCTTATCTGACAGTGACGTAATTTTTAAGCTATCTGAGCCTCTATCAGCCAGTGGTGGGACAGGCCCTTTCTTTCTTTCGATCCAGGAATATATTCCCGGAATATTTATAGAAGAATTTAAAGAATTAAGAAATCCAAAAAGAACCAAAAGGCGTTTCAAAAGCTCTTAGAAACAATCGGCAGATAGCATCAATTGGTAGCAAACAATTTATGTTGCCGTCAATAAAAGATAACATCATTTTAATTAATTAATTATGTTATGATAAGACTATCCACTTCCCGACATATCAATCATATTGATTTGATAAAATAAAATAAATCATGTTTTAAATGTATGAAAAAAATATATAATGAAGTATGTACGACATCCATCCAATGCATCCAGTAACATTTGTTTTGACGTGGCCCTCACAAGGTGTTTCTTAAAGATTCTGTAGATAACATTAATGGCTCTATAATTTATCCCAAACGTAACTGATTAATTTTGGATTCTGTGATGCATCTCGCCGCCTGATGGATTAACTCGTTTAACTGGAGCGTAATCTTAACTAGGAGATTCCAATAAAAAACTCTGAACCGTAAATAACATTTGTTACTTGTGGTCTTTGTGTTTGTGTTGACTTACCCTAAAAATTGAAGCCACACAATGATGCAGAAAACAATGCAGTTTCTTCTTCGTCTAGAAATCCTGGAAGACCGACGGACGGACGAAAGATTATATTCTACCCTCATGAGCCTAAAAACTAAAGACAGCTTAGATCCGGACGATAAGCCAACAGCTATTAACTCCTTCATCTCTAAAATCATGGAAACAATCATCAATTGCCAAATCATGGCACTTCGAAGAGTACCAGCTAGTAGCGGCCGTTAGCATTGTTTTCGTAAAAAAAATTAACCGCGAAGCAAAACACTATTCCGTACAGATTTCATAAAACAGTCAGTTCATTGATCTTTGATATTACTTTTATTACAACTGTACCATTAAATATTAATATATTCACAAATGAATAACTTCAGGAGCAGAGGGCTTCTAAAACTCCGAAAGTCACGACGGGTGGTGTTCAAGCGAGCGGCCGTCGCTAATTGAATTAAAGATAAATATTTCAACTATTCTGATGACAGATACTTTATAATCGTGTGGAAAGTTACTACTCAAGTACTTTTTAAATAGTAAAATACACTTAATACGTACATTAAATTTTAAATTACCTTTCAATGTACTCGCGTTGTGGAATACTCTGTCCTCAGCGGTATTACCAAATAGTTACGACTTAGGGACCTTCAAGAAAAGAGCGTATCCCTTAAAGGCCGGCAGCACATCTGCAGTTTCTTTTGCGTTGCGGATGTTCATGGGCGTCGGATCAGTTGATACCAAGCGATAAAAGAATAATAAAATAAGAAAGCAACGAGCATTTATTATAGCCTCTATCGATATTGAAACACAAGAGATAAATTTATCGTGACAAAAAGTTGATCAGGGATATTTTACAGGGTAAAAGAGTAGGAGCAGGAACTACTCAGTAAATTTCAGACGTTCAGACATACGGCCGAAATCCATCCTTTTGTAGTTACGAACGATAAATTTTGAGTCATCGTTCTTTGTGCGCACTGGGAATGATTGGAATAAGTTGTCAGCGTCGGTTTTCCCATCCACATATGACGTAGGGGCTTCAAAAAAGGAGTGAATAAGTATTTATTAGGCTTGCACGTACCAACTTTCATTAAGTGGGATTGTGGTCAAGCGCTAGCATACATAAAACATGTAAAACGAATTATCTTAAATAATTGACATTGCAAATTTAAAAATAATATTTTATTCTTAATAACTAATCAATTCTTATCCATTTCCTATCTTTAGTTCTCATAAAGGAGAAATGACGAATCTTTTCTAACTAAATCTAATCTTGATCGAAACTAGTATTTCCATTCGCGATTTTTGACTCTCTTATCATTTTTATATCTTTGATTACTTCATTTTCATCGAGATACGGGAACGTATAAATTGTAACTGGGCCGAGCTTAAGAACAGTTGTTAAAACATACATGCTTGGAAAAAATGCGTTCTTTTCTCGTACTTGTTTTTGCAGTAGTTGTGGTATCAATACCGATAAAAATACCTGATCCAAGTGAACTAGCTGTTTATTTAAATGAAGATCAATTTGAAGATTATCTCGATGTTTGGTTGAAAATAAAATATCAAAACATTAAACTGATTAGTCCCAGAAATTCGGGTAAGTCTTTGTTATTTTGAATACATACATTATTTGTTAAATTACTTATGTTTGATCAATCTTTTTATAGTTTATTGAATTTCATACACTGCTTCAGTTTCAAGGATTGAAGTAATAGTTAAGAGTTTATTTTTTTATTCTGTACAAAACATTGTTTTACTTGTCTTATAATTTTCACTTTAAATAAGGAAAATCACGATAAAAAAAGGTTGGCCCGATCATAAGAGCAAACTAGACTTGACCTTGAGACCTTACTGGGACTGTAGGGACGAGCTCACCGTGGCGT